GCGGGGAGCACACCTGCCACGACCATTGAACAGCTCTGCGAAGCGAATACGCTCTCCGAAAAACTTGTCTTTTATCGTAACGGCGCTCGCTTGGTCCGTTTCTCTCCCTCTCTCCCTTTCTTGCTCTTTCGTTTCTACGTTTACCACGGCGTGTATGTGTATATAACTATATACCAATGAATACGTCTGCCCGCGAGAGTACGCGGTCGGAGTATAAGGGCATATTGCGCGTATGTGTGCTGTTACTCCTCTCCCCGCGCCGCGCCGTCGACACTTCTCTTTCTCTTTAATACGAATCTAACCTATCTCCCTCGTGTTTACGCGCTCGTCGCAAAACTCGGTCTCTCTCGGTTCCGCAGGTCGCGCCCTCTCGGTCGCTCAAGTATACACGTAACGACATGGAGCGTGCCACGTGATCGCCTCCGACACTCCGCCATTGGTCCCCCACCACTCCGTTCGCGTAGCCGCTACCGCTACTTGCAGCTTCGTGTTGCTTCGTGCTCGGACTCGGATTCTTGCTGCACCTGGCTGCACTTCCGACGTTCCGTCCTCGTCTTGTTAATGCCGCGCACTTGGAGTCCGTTCACGTCCGTCGCCGTCGCTGAGTGCGAATGGTGCGGAAAGGTGCACGTGAGACCTATTTTCTTTTTTTCCGATCGACTTGTCGCATCACCGTGTAGCGTATACTTTGTAGCGCTTTGGGGAATGCGTTGTCCGTTCTACGCCTCGCGCGCGGCTGCTTTTGTTGCGTCTTTCTTTGAACGACTCCGACAGGACGATCGAAGCGATTTCAGGAAACGAACGTTCAGGGATGGGCTACGGTCGTTTCCGATAATTCCAACCTACCGGCGACCACCGATACAAACATCGGACGACGCTAAAAACATCGACGTGGAAAAACATCCATATTGATTTTACAAATACGTTGTCTAATCCCTTGCGCGATTAATCAATGTAAAATAACAGTTTATTTAGTAGTAGTAGTAGTAATATCAGTAATTGTGTAGTATAGTTACGGTACTCATACGTCCTTTGTTGTAAAGAACGTCCTTTATTTCAAGTAGCTGTCTTAGAATTATTAATTTTTTCTCAAAATTCAATTTTTTATTAATAATTTACGGGAAATTTCTTTCTAATTATTATTACAATGTCTCGTGTACTAATGAGCGAATTTTTATGAAGAAATTATCTACAAATTTCATTCTATATACAGCAGCAATATTAGCTCAAACAGAACTACAGTCACAATAATATCCAAATGACATCAAAACGAATTGTGATTGATTAAAAAGTGGCTTTTAATAATCAAATTTGCAATTATTTTAATGTCATTTCAATATGCTTATTAGAATTTATCTCAAGTATATTGTATAAAAAAATTTTAGAAATTAATGCGCAGACTTCTGACAATCACAAACTAGGAACTTTGGAAATATTTCAGACTAAAATTTTCAGATTTGTCCTTTATTTTTCTAAGAATATCATCACTGTAGGTAATAACAAAGTACGTATTTAAAAGTAGGATACAATTCAAAATTTATCAAAATTATCTGTGCCAATCGTAGACAGTTAATTATAAAAAAATTAATTATAAAAAATATTGTATTAAAGCAAAACTTTATCGTCGGAGAACGTCTCGAAGCGTTCGTGGAACTGCGTCGAAGGATTTCAGCGAGAGTGAAGCGGCTTTCAGAGCCACAGAGATGCAACCGATCTCGTCGAGATTCTTATGAATCCCGTAAATTATTCCGGCAGTGAGGCAATCTCCGCACCCGCTTACGCTGAGTATCTCGCTCGCTTTTTCCGCGCCGTCATCGGCGGGATACAATCGGGACGCGACCGAGGAGTCGGCGATCAGTTCGCCACGCTCGTCGTAGAAGGGCTCGTTTTGCAAAGCTTTTCGGGTCACCTGCAAAATAGAAAGTTAACGAATACATATGTCGGAACATCGTCATTGATTTATATCTACCTCTAGATTAATTTTAGATTAATTTTAATCTTGGTTTATAATTTTTATCGTTATCTACATTGATAAAAATCTTCAGTTGAAAATGAATGAAACATTCTAATCATCGTGCTATCAATCGGAATTCCAATCATCGTGATTAGATATCTCGATTAGAATTATAATAGATTTAAAAAATAACTATAATAATCTCATTTTTCTACTAGAATTCAAATTAATGCAATCAGATTCTTTTTCCAGTGTTTTAATAATCAGAACAAAACAAACGAAACCATGATTAAATATGATAAATTCAATTGCACTATGCTTAATATTCATTAAAGGCTGCTTTATATAAAGTATCTATAGAAAATGCAGTGGCATAATGTAATCAATAATTTGAAATTGGACTGATGAGAATAAATCTAATTATATAAGAGAAATATTTTCGATCAAAGCGAATCTTGGTACTTTAATATTTTGCGGTGGGAATTTATATACATTCAATTCTGAGTGCCGAAATCTTTTTCATTCTTGAAAGGAATCATAAATGAAACTAGAGAAGTAAAACCACAGCAATTTAATAATTGTATGCTCAGCTCTGGCTGAGGTAATTTGTTGCAATAAATCATTCGCAGTTTTTATGATTCTTATTAGGCTTATTAATATCAAATTATATATTAATATTTTTATAACATACCTATTATTAGCACTAATATTAAATTACTTATTAATTTAATATGTAATATTATTACTTTAATTCTGTTCATAATTGCGTTTCAAGACTGAAAAAGATCGCGCGGTTTGCAGAATTGGATGTATATAAATTCACACTAAAATATTTAAGATCCGCTTTGACCGAAAATAGGATTTCTCTTACATAATTAGAAAATGAAATCAACTTTAACAATAATACACATTCAGTTAAATAACGATATCATCGGATATTAATCGTTTAGAATGTTTATATTTTTCATGTTTCTATATTTACTATGTATATAATTTCATGAATAGCTGCTTTTAATATGCTTCAAATTAATGTAATGCAAGTGACGAAATTTACTATTAATCTATATGGTAGAAATGAATTTTAGACAACGAATTTAAAACGCAATTGGGATGCGAACCAACACTCCCTGCGCCCCTAAAGTGGTTACGACAACCGGAACATGTTCGATCAACTGTTCAGCTACGCTTTTTGTAGCCACCAAGTCCATACTCTCGGAAACAGGGATGTTGAAGTGTTCCCCTATTACTTTCAGTTCGTTCTGGTTAGGCGAGACAAAGTGCAGTACGTTTTTCCATTGTGGTCCAACTTGGAATATCTTCGCCGCCGTTTTAACATCCGTAGGCTCGTACCAGACTGTCGAGAAAAATTATTAAAATCTTTATTTGTTCCAAATATATACACATTTATTAAAATTATTCAAGGTCTATTTTATTGTATAACTCTTAAGAAGTTTTAGTTTTTACAGAAGTATGTGGTCTACGGTAAAAAGAAGACAGGCAAAAAGAAGATAGGCAAAGAGAAAAGTTAAAAGGATAAAAAGATTTTATTACTTAATTTTCTTTAATGGGCACAAAAAGTTCCTCCGCAAAACAGGAGAGGGAAAGGTCGTCGAAATTCCAGAGGAAGGGGATACACATTGCGGAACGCGCAACCGGCGCAAACAGCGCGCCCTAGCGTTCGCGCGCTGAGCTAAGCTTCCTGTGAGCCGAGAGGAAGTCACATACTTGTGTGTTCCAGGTGGAATACGAAAATATACGGCGAACACGAGAAGTTTACGTTTCCTTTTCCACCATCCTTCGTTACGTATACATTCGAGTGACGCTCGCGAGTGATGGGGAAGACGAGGACGGGCAAGGCCGCCGTCGTGTGCACGGCGGTGGCGTTCGTTCTGGTAGTGATCGCGTTCACCACACCCAACTGGCTGGAGACTGACGGAAAATTGGATAATCCACAATTCGTCAAGATTGGTAAGATTATACATGACTGGATGTATACATCTCTATATTTGCATCTATAAATAACTTGTATTTGAAATTTATATTCAAATATTGGACATAGATACAAAGGAGTTATTAATTTTGATGTCTCTTATGCTCATTTCCACTAATATAGATTAACTTTAATCTCGATTCAATTTACTCTTCATCTTTTTCTTCCTTTTTTTCTAATTTTTAAAACTAGAAAAAAATGACGAGTAAGTTGAACCGAGATTAAAGTTGATCTACATTGGTGGAAATGAGTATTAGCAAATTCGATTGAATGTACTTAGTGCGTATTGATGCATATTAGAGATCCTATATTAGAGTCTGGTTACGAGCGATAGAAAAGGCGAGCTAGAAAAAAAGAAAGATACATAAGTATATAATTCCTCTCCGTGCAACGCAAGTAACCGAATTCGCTACTAATTGATAGAAATGAATATTAGATATATATATTCACTCTAACTGAAAGACATACAAAAGTCAACAAAAGAACAAAATGACTCTATTTTAATGCTTAACGTCAATAAACAGAAAAAATTTTCTTGACTTGATGTATTTCTTGAGAATTTATACTATCCCACTTTATAATCTTAATTAAAGTTATAGAGTGAAACAATAGAAATTAGAATGAGATAATATATATACAGGGAGAATTACATATATCTTTCTCTCATAGGATTTTGACAAAATCATCTATGACCAGACTCTGTTATAAATTGTATATTAATTAAAGCCATTGTATACAAATTGATATTAAGCTGTATGTTCAATATAAATATGAACAGGTTAAACCGAGAAATTTTCGATACATTTTATTATGTTGTTAAATGAAGTATGTATTTTATAATTCAAAATACTTGAATTTCACTTTTACATTTAAATTAAATCAAGTACAACGATTTTAATATCCATCAATACACTATATTATATACATAATAGGATTGGTCGTCAGAAAATTATTATTTTATTTATTCTGTTTATCACAGAATTTTTTTTAAGTTTCTCATAGAATGGTAATTGTATTTGAAAAACTACTTTGAAATATACCTTTCTACTATGTCCAATTAATAATTTATTTTCTAATAATGTGATTATATGATAAGCATGAGACACATACATTTAGCAAGCAGCGACAAAGCGATTGAAAAACAGTGCTATTTACAGGTCTCTGGCAGGTATGTTTCCAAGGATTCCAGGATCCGCGTCATCTCTATGATACCAGATTCTATGGATGTTGGTGGGTGTTTGAAGAAGAGTATTACATTATACATGACATACTTCTACCCGATTTCTTCGTCGCCACGCAGTTCTTCTTCACGCTGTGCTTCACCTTGTTGCTGATAGGAAGTTTTCTGACTATTTTATATACTTGTTGCTCGCGTCAACATGACAAGTATCAGCTGCTTCTGTGGGCAACCGGTGGCAATTTGACTTTGGCAGGAATATGTGGTGTTATATCGGTGATTATATTCGGCGCCAGAGGTGACGGTCGAGATTGGATGCCCAATTGGGAGCACAATGATATCAGTTGGTCCTTCGCCTTAGCCGTCGTCGGCAGTTTTGTTCTGATAGCCGCTGGTGTCTTATATTTGATCGAAGGACGTAGACATAGGAAGAAGCAGGAGCGAATATTGAACGAAGAACAAAAAACGCATACGACCATTTAGCATATTTTTACTTCGTAATCAAACAAATATTCGCGATGTATCAAATGATACATCGCGTAAGCACAAATTTTATCCACTGAACATGTATCACGGATAAATCTCTTTGAAGACTAATAATTTTATATTATAATAATTGTTACGCATCTACTCATCGTAACGTTATAAAATTTGTCGATATACATATTATCTAAGACACATATATATATTTTAAATATATAGAGACTAGAAGTCATTGACTTGCGTTGACAAAAATTTAAATTATATGAAACATTTTCTATAAATGATGCACGACTAGATGTCGTAAATATTATTAAATGTGTAACACACACACATATCTGAACTAATCCGTCCATTTATCTGTATTGTTTTTTTAAAAATTTTGTAGGGATTAATTATATATTTGTACATAAGTTCTATATAGATATATATTGATGTTGAGAGAGATAAATCTCTCACTTGTATACCGTATACAAATGTAATAAAATAATTTTTCCTAATAAATAGCTACTATGTTTTTACTCTCGTCCAAGAAGAACGAAAAAATCAAGATAAATCAATTTGATGTTATATTAATCAAATTCACGTCATTTTTTTGTCATGATTCAGTCAGTATGACATTATTTCGTCTTTCTTGTTTTTCTTATACAAATATTCAGATTGCATGTCAAATTTTCGAATACAAATCAATTAAATATACCTCTGCACACAGTGACCCACTTTGTTCTCGTAAAGTCATCGTAAATTATAAGACGCAAATCTTTCGCGTGCACGCGATAACGCGGTAACGCGGAGGAAAGCGTTCGCCGTTTGACCTAATTTACATTCTATTCTAATCGACCGCGCTGAATCTTCCGCAGTTATGTCAGTTGCGACCGGCATAATGCGTCATCTTGTAGATCGCTCGTCGAGATCTCGAGGTGATACACTTGCGTATTGCGGAGGGATTCCATTCAGCGATGACTCGCGTCGCGCAACTACGACATAATTTTCGTGATTCAGTTACAGGATGTATATACATACGTTAATTTCTACGAATATGATATACGTCTTTTTTGGAGAAAATAAGAATAGTGGAAATGAATTTGTAAGAGAAGCGGAAGTCACGTAAAAGAAAAGAAAGCGTTCTTCCTCGCCGAGAAATTGTTTACGCCCATTTTAGATGATTTCAAATTCTCGTCAGATATTTCAAGACAGAGATCGTTGCGTTTTAATTTATGCCATGCATTATTTAACATGCGAATCAAAGTTTTTTTATAATAAAAAAAAAAAGAAATAGAGAGAAAGATACAGAAATTTATGCTGCGAATGCATTTAAAAAATACGTGTCTTCTCATTTTTCAATTACTTTTGCATAAAAAAAAATTATAAATAGAAAATTATAAATCCTAAATGAAGTGTATACTTTCTGTAATAAAATTACAGATTTTAAGACACTTACTCAGCAGATAATAATTAAAATCCTTCTAAGATATGGACAATATTATTAAATTGCTTGCCAATTTAATTTGTGATATTATTACTTTATAAGTAGGTTTGCGTTTCAAGATTGAAAATTAAACTCGACGCGCAGTTTACAAGATTAGATATGATTTATGAATATATAAATTCACACTGAATTATTTAAACGATCCAGCTTGACTGATCCAATTTAGAACCTTTATTTCCTATTTGTATAAATAGAACATTATTCTGAATTCTTTGATTTATCGATCGCCTGAAGCAAACTTTAGGCTTAGAAACGCACTATTCGGTTCGCTTACGTCCTACAGGATCAAGGCCGGAATGCGATCATGAAGAGAGAAACGATATGCATAAATAAGACGTGCGACATGCGCTGACACATTATGCACCTTGACGGTGCAGGGACGACTAGAGAAGCGACAGGATCACCGCGAAAAATCTCAAAAAACTTTTCTTTACAAGAAAACGCAAAATTCTTAACTCTTTTTTTTCCAATTTATATTACAGACATTTTAAATGTCAATTTATTATTAATTTCTTTATTAGCTTCGCAATATCAGTATCGCAATATTTATTGAGAATGGCTGTGTTTCGTCTTTTACTTTCAGAACTCTTCTTATGAAACTACGACTTATTAAGAGTCCAGTTTTATCAGTGTAATTAAGATTAACTTTAATCTCGGTTTTAATTTACTTTATCTTTTTCTTAAAATTAGAAAAAGATAAAGAATAAGTTGAACCGAGATTAAAGTTAATTTAACATTGATGGAAATAAACGTAAGGCAAGTCAGAGCAGGTCAAAGTACTGTTCAGTATTGTTTAGTTTGGACCAAAGATTCAGCAAATTATTTCCCTTTTTTCGGGGATAAAGGAAGGCACTCTTTTTTGCTCCCAGGATATATCATTGTCAGAATCCAAGCCCTCACTGTGGACGGTCCTGCATAGATTCGTTTAACGCCCCGCTCATGGGATACCTACTTGCGCGTGGGGTTGTCGAGTCGAGGTGAAACGCGGGTTAGGTTAGATTAGTTAGAACTCGGCCGTACGTTCCGCCAATAACACGGGTCGCTTGGGTGTGGTTATTAGTGCCGTGGGACCGTCAAGTAGAATTGTGTTTCATGAGAGTATAGTTTACGCTGCGCGTCCAGACGGTCGGACGTCTCGTCTCTCTTTCACGATCGTCTCGGTAGGCGGAGCGGCGACATGAAGAAGAGAAGCTTGTCCGGCAATGTCGGCGTTGGCGTGTTCCTGGTAGGATTCATCTGCGTGTGCGTCGCCTTCGGTACGCCCTCCTGGTTAGTCAGCGACCCACGGATCGTCGGGGCGCAACTCGACCGACTCGGCCTGTGGCGACACTGCTTCAGGTCGCTGCCCAACCCCCAGGAGTCCGACGCGCCCAGGCGATTCTTCGTTGGCTGCAGATGGGTCTACGACCCGTTTACCGCGGGTTACTCCGAAATTCGCGGCTTCTTACTGCCCCGTAAGTAGTCGTATAATCGGTATAACAATCTCGAACACATCCGAGAGAAACTGTTCTTCTTATGTTTCTACCAATGTAGATTAATTTTAATCTTAGTTGTTCTTCTTCTTTTTCTGATTCTTATGTCTGTATTCATAGTCAGACCTTGTACTTAAGGCTTCCTTAAATTTATCTTTAGATACTCAGTAGCCAACTCAGTAGATACTCAGTATGAAATAATTCGTAGAGTATCTGAAGATAAATTTAAAGAAGCTTTAAATATAAGGCCTGACTATGAATACGGGCATTAGAAAAAGATGAAGAGTTAATTGAATCGAGATTACAATTTAAACTACATTAGCAGAAATGGATTCTTAACATCAAACAGTGAATCTTTCATTTTTCTTCCTGAGAAGAAGAGATTTGCTATTATTAGAGGAATAATATCTTAGCTGTGTTCTAAAATTCACTGTCAGTGCTAGAAAATGTATAATACATGTAAAATAAACTATAAATTTTCAACGCTAGCAGTGCATTTTGGAACACAGCCTTGATAGACTATCTTGGACTGTCGTTGAATTTGAAATGCATTGATAATAAAATGACAATATTTGTTGATACTATTGATAGTTATTACTAAGAGCTTTCCAGGAAACATATATCGAAAGTTTTTGTTTAGCGAGAGGCAGAGATAAAGATAATGACTCTTGTGTCAATCATACTATATATCCCTTGCTGAAAAGCTCCCAGTAATAATAGGTCAAGAACCATTACCCCATTTGTTTAACATAATATTTTTTGTTACAGCTTTTATGATAGCCACGCAAGTGTTCTTCACAATATGCTTTCTGCTGGGTCTAATATCATTCTTTCTAATATTACTCTTCACTTTGTGCTGCGACCCAGAGCGAAAGAGATATATCGAGTTGATAACTACTATCGGTTACTTGCTGCTGGGTAGTGGTATCAGCGGTGGCATAGCAGTCATCGTATTTGCCTGCCTTGGTAACGCCAACGGTTGGATGCCTGGACACGCCAATAATTATTTAGGATGGTCTTTCGCTCTAGCTGTCATAGGCAGTGTACTGATGCTGATCGCCAGCGGTTTATTGCTGGTAGAGGCAAGCGTGCAACGAAAGAAACGAGACTATCTAAAAGAATCTCAAATGCGTTTTCAACTTGAATCTCGCGCCTAAAATGAATAGCACTTCCTGACTTGTTCGCAAGAATTGCGCACAAGCGTCTGTATTAAAAGTCTGTAGTACCGTTCCGTCCATGCAGGGTGCAACGTTTTATTTTAGAACTTTTCTCTCTCTTTATGGAATGTACAAAAAAAAATAGATCTGTATTAATTTAAGTTTAGAAAATACGTAAGTTTAATATTTTTGTACAATATTTTATATCTCTCTTTACATAATTATGTATATTATGTATATTAGATCATAGTACTGTACGATAATATCATTATTAACAATATGAAACGGTACACGCGTCTTAAAACAATTGCAGAAAAATTCGCAAGAAATTAAATAATATAAAAAAGGGTCCACGATTTTTTATTCGAAACAATTGTGCCTTTTTGATATAAAAATTTAAAACTTAATGACACAAACAAACACACACACACACACACACACACACACACACACATATTAGGGCAAATTTTTAATTCATTAATTGATTAATCGCACTATGCGCAAATGTAATTTTGTTCCGTAAAAGCTGCTTATTTGCACATAATGCGATTAATCAATCGATGAATTAAAAAATCGCCCATATATTTATATAAAATCGTGAGCTGTGAGAAAACGTTATGTATTTACGAATCGTGTGCACAGTTAATAATTCGTTTTGCCACTTCTTTTTTTCTATACAAAAGATGCATTTAATTAAGATGCAACATTATTTTTTAAATCTCTTATTTTTTGACAATATTTTATTATATATAATATTCTATTACAACTATTTTAACTTATTGACTTGATAATTTGATGTGATCATTTTTATTACTTATATGTAGTTTTTCATGAACTTTTCTGTGTAGCGTTTTGAGACGCAAATTACGAAATGCCTTGTAGATTGTATCTACGTACATATATGTATATTGTATTAAATTTTATGCACGAGATTATATTTGCACAATGCAGCTATGCAATACATATCAATGAAAATTTAAGCTAACGAGATTAATAATTAATAATTAATTAAAGATCAAAATAAATTTTTGTAATTCTATCCTTTACCAAAATAAAAAAACCTAATACAAGATATTCTTATTTCTGCAGCCTATCAACCTCTCTTAAATTTACATCTGAAATTCAAGTAAATTATAATTCAGACAAACTAATGAAAAATCTGTTGAAAAACTGAAGCATTTTTTTCTCTTTTTTTAACGAAAACATTAAATTTCTTCAATCAACATCCCTGCATTCGTTTACAGCGGTTAGCGCAGAAGTATTACTTTATCCTTGTTGTTCACCGAGTGTTAAACAAGAATTAAATGATACTCGCATAAACGAATGCACTCATGATGTAAGAAGACAAGAGCTGCGTTCGCTTTGACGCTCATGACGCTTGTAAGCATCAATTATCCTTGTTTAATATTTAATAAGCAACAAGAATGAAATGACGTTTAAAACGTTATAAGCGCCTAGCGTGTACCACCATTGTATTCTCGAGGATGCCAGTAGTTCAAAGTAGCGTCTACTCTTCGACCAATAAGAGTTTGCCCTCAAATGCTAAAAAGTAAGATGGCTTTTTCCATGCATCCACACAGTGTAATTGTCAAAGAATAGATTGGTGGGACCAATTAAAATTGAAGAAAAAGAAAGAATAGATTGGACCGTATTAGTATTGTTTAGTTTGCACAAATGCCAATGTATTGTGTAAAATATTGTATTAGTCCCACAAGAAAACGTCTTACAAGAAAACGAAAAATGTTAAATTTCTTCGATTTCCTGAGGTCAAAATTATTTGATTTTAATAATGATTTCAAGTCAATTAAAGAACAAAAATAGATATAAAAGTTGATGCGGTTAAAATTGATATTAATTAAACATTTGTTAGTTTGCAATATGTATATATACACTACGGATAAAGAATTTTTTGAAATAATCAAAAGCATGTTTGTAAAAACTTTGAGTGTCAAAATATTTTTTAAATTTTGTGTTGAAAAATATATTATTAGAATAATATACACATATATTATATACATAGAATAATATACATATATATATAACGTATAGTGATGGTCACGAAAATAGAACCGGCATGTATATAAAAATTTATAAAATAGTTATTTTATGAAAATAGAACCGACATGTATATAAAAATTTATAAAATAGTTATTTTGTTCGTCTATTTTCATTTGCTAGTAATGTTATTTATTGTTTACAGCAGCAATAATTCATATCAACTAAAAAACATAATGAACTATTACTGAAATAAGGTATATGTCGTATTGCAAGAATCTTAAAGTGTCCTATGCTGTAAGTCTGGTTATAATAATAAAGCCTAATTATTAATATAAGTTTATTAACATAAAAAAAAGTTTGTTAAATATTAATATTAATAAATTCACATTTTAAAAAACATTAATAATTTGATTTTATGACATGTAACGGTAACGCGTTACTTTTTAAAATGAGTAACGATAACGAGTTATTTTTAACAAACAGTAACTATAATGGTAATGCATTATTTTTCTAAGATAATGTTCCCAACTCTGTATATGTATTACACAGTTTTTTGGCACACTATTAATAGTCTGATCTTAGTACGCCATTTGAATCTCGCGCAACATTTGGGGGCAAAATTTGATTGGCTGCTCCAGTATTCAGTCGCCATTATGCACAATGGTACACCTTACAGAAAACAGACACTTGTTTTCTTATATCATGGTAGTGGTGATGCAGGTTCACTGGGTGTGGCGAGGGTGAGGTGCGGTGACGAACGACAACAACAATTGTAAACGAACGACTTATACAGATCACGTCAGTTAGTTTCACGTTGGCCTTTCTAAAAGGTCACCATGACGGTGGATAAGCAAGATTATCACAGAGCGTCCAGTGAGTAATTGATTAAGTCAATCAGCAGTGCGATTATTTGAAATAACCTGTATTATTTATCCTACCTGTACTAATTGTCTTTCGTTTTCATTGATAGACGCGGTCGTTTTCGGTGGAGGACTCTCGTTTGTAGCGCTCTTTCTCCTAATGATGGCCTTCATAAGGTAAACATACTTTCAAGCAATTATCATAACTAACAATTTCAAATTGACTTGAAACATATGAAAACAATGTTACTGATCCTCTCCATAATTTCTAGTCCGTATTGGATAGAATCGTATCAGGAGACGTTCAGTAGCTTTAAGCACATGGGACTCTGGGAGTACTGCTTTGAGCAATTCCGTTATCCCTATTATCAGTTTGACAAACAATTTGACGGCTGCCACCATATATTTTCACAAGAATATTATGTCATAAGAGAGTGGCTGCTGCCAGTATGGCTCATGGTAGTGCAGACATTTGTCACGTTGGCCTTAATGCTATCCATCTTTGCCTTCATTATAATTGCCTTAATTTGGACACGTTGGCCGTTGAGATTTGTCCTGCATTATGAATGGATTCTGTCGTCCTTTGTATTTATATGTGACGCAGCTGCTGGTAAGTGTGAGAGTTTTTAAAGTTAAAGATAGAAGATACCGAATGTTCTTTAATCTGATTATTTTTTAATTTTAGGCGTGCTTCTCTTTCTGGCAGTCTCTATATTCGGCGGACAATGCTGGCGTCGGGATTGGTTAATGTATCCGAATTTCAATCACTTGTCATGGTCATATGGTCTTGCTGTCATATCATTCATGATCCACACGTTTGCCGCATTCTTTCTTTATTTAGACGCGCGGACAGGTTACAGACTACGCAAAGAGTCTCGTAACTTGGTGATGCAGATGCAGCCGAATCCACAATCTCAACACGCTCCGTCAAGCCGGAGCGGATATGTATAAAGTAATCTCAAATCGTGTGCTTTTGACAAAAAATTTAATTTCCACGTAAATTCATATCATTATTTTTAATGAAGATGCAAAAGATAAGATCTGTCTTTTAAGAGAGACTGTACACCATCTGTGTACGATTTTCATCCGTCCATTTAATTTGTTCATTAAAAATAATAGTAAAAGCTTTATACATACACATATATATATATATATATCTATGTATAAGCTTTTACCATTATTTTTAATAAATAGTTCCATGTGAGAGTGGTCGACCAATTGGCAGGTCCCCGGTTTGATCCCGACTCTCATCCCCTGTATGTACCTCCGTTTTAAGAGGTTTTAATTTTCAGAAAGTTATAAGCAAAGTAATATAAGGCGATCTGTTTCGAGAATTTACATTTCATTTGTGTTTAATTTAAAAAGGATAAACACGTGTGTATTACGATTGTCGCCTTCTCTCAAGCTAATTAACTTACATTTGATTTACTTTAAACTAATTCGATTTACTTTAAATTAATTCGCTTATGCGTGAATAATATCCGTCCATTGTTATACTCACGTGCACACATTTTTTTTATCACATTTATATATATATATATATATTTTATACGTTCTATATAGAATACATATAATATAATAGAATTATATTATTTGACTTATAAATGTATAGGAAATTAATAAATGAAGAAATATTCTTTTTTGTGAACGAAATGACAGTAAGTTATTGCAGAAGTTTTTTCACTCACCTGGAATATTCATTTGCGACGCAATGTCGAGCACATAGCGCATAACGTCCAGTTCGAAACTTGTGTCGAGAACGATGAAACTTGCTTTTTCGAGATGCAACTGATACTCTTTTATCAACTTCGGGGTAATCAAAGCGAAGCATTCCATTTCGCTAACGTAGAAGTGACATTCGCCATTAACGTCCACTATCACCGTCATCCTGAAATATTAGCGATAATTTGTCAAATACGAATGGATCTGTGGATAATCAGTTTGTCGAATTATCTTATTATTTAAATTCGGATATCGGAACAATTCGAATCTGCATATCTAAAGACGAATTTATTGGAATCTGAGTTTGTTAATTTGCATTCTTAAGTACAGCAAATTAGATAATTAGAAATGTTTTCGTTTTTTCCTGGTTTTCTTAACTGATTCTAAGAGTGTTATTTTCCCTCATAGCCAAAAATATCGTTATAATCAAAAGAAGCTATCTATTATCCAAGCACGTCAACATTTACAAATTTGTAATAATTGGATAATAATTATTTCGGCTAATTTGAATATATTACTGTCTAGATATTTATATAGTCTTGTATATATTATTCAACGGAACTATCGGATAAATTCTTGCCGCCGAATACTCATCAACGAAGTAAGATTATGATTCGTACTTTGCGGTGTCCACGTCCGACATACGTTTCACTATCTCGCCTCCGACTCCCAAGCTCTCGAGAATGATCTTCCCGTGCTCGTCGTCGCCAACGATGGATATTAAACGCGTATTTTCTAAACCGAGCTTGAGTAGTGCATCAGCAACGTTTCGACCAACTCCGCCGCAGCTTCGTCTACTTCGTCCGGTATGCGTTCTCCCGTCATTCTGGAAATGAATCGCTCTCTTCATTATTCGATTATTCGAACTCTACATAAATTTTGTTACAATTAATCGATTTTTCATGTTATATTTTCCTTATGGCAAAGAGGAAGAAAAAAATGCAAAAATTAAAAGAGAAGACTTCTTAAGAGAGAACTTTTATAGTTTTAATAAAGAAGAAAATGTTTTAAGAAGAAAGTATGTTGTAGAAAGAGGATCTATATTCTTCGAGGAATATATATTAGCCCTTGGGGCTATAAAGGAGTGTTTACTTTGGGTATATCTGTTTTTCAGTTTGTAAAAATTCAATTAAAGTGAAGTATTCGCTCCAGAGTCATACAGCTGAGAGAGAGTGCTTAGGGGAAGCATGCAAAGTCCCATCCCTATGATACTCAAGTTGGCATATAGTGTGTGTTTACCCTTTCCATTCTCTTCTCTCCGTTCCTATATCTTGGTGTACAATATAACCGGTGCCTACGTATCTCCGTTCTATACATTCTTTCTCTCTCTTTCTCTCTCCCTCTCTTTCGCACTTCTACTACATCCGGTGGTAACATATGGCTGGACATTTTTATCTCTCCACCTCTTCCTTCCACCTCAGCTCTATTTCTACGTATCAACGCTGTGCTTGGGGATGCGCGCACCCTCCCACGAGAGAGACCTTATCGGTCAGACCTATTTCCCGCGACGACAGTGCTCCGTTTCAGTCTCGTGAAACAAGACCGATCTTGTCTACCCTTTTGTGGCATAAAATAGTGATATTGGAATACGAATTTATTCTCTGTGACAGCTAGCGGTTACTGGATCGAAACGCCCATTTCGTCCACCTCCGATCGTCCGCCCTTGTACACTCCCTTCGCGTGTCTTCCCTCTATCTATCAGTTTGCCTTGCGACGGTGGTGGCAGAGTCTCTTCAATCCTCGTGCCAGTCTGGTTGCCTATTTCGAGCGCTGTTCATGGTGGTGAACACCCCCGTGGTTCACGTACTCCCCCGGGTGCCTCATGTTCTCTGCGCCGACAAAGTATAGAGGAAAAGAGAGAGAAATCACAAGATAGACAAGAGATAGATAGGTAGAGAGCCGCGCGTGTCCGCCTGGAACATCCATCCCATGCGTCAAGCGCACGGAGCGAGAAGCGTCGGGCGTCGTGGCCGCGGCGTCGCGACGACGGCGACGACGACGACGACGACGCTCGGTCGCGCGCACGAGCTCTCGACTCTGCGTGATTGGTGGCAGTGAGAGGCAGCGCGTCGCGTCGCGTCGCGCCGCTCCACGAAGCGTCGTGCGAGCGACATGCGCTACGGCTGGCGGCGGCCTTGTCAAGTGTCGACTGTGACCAGGAAGACGGGGACGAGGCCGAGGCCGAGGCCGAGGACGAGAACGAGAACGTCAACGACGACGAGGACCAGGACAACGAAAACGGGAATAACGCCGGTAACGAGGAAACCGAGAACAAAAGCGACGACGTTGAGGTGCTGGTGGTGAGAGACGTCACGAAGTGTACGGGACGCATAACGAGGAAAACGCGGGCGACTGGCATGAACGACGACGTCGTGGACGACGTTGCCGAGGAGGACTCTCACGGCGATGCTCGTGAAGGAAGCGCTACGGGCATCACGACGACGACGAAGACGACGACGAAGATCGCGTTCCTCGTGCATACCCCGACCGTCGTACTGCCGGCCCGACTGATGACACCCGGCCGCAGCAATTCCGCAGCGGTCTCGGCGAACAAGATCGCGCCTCCGCAATCCACGTGCACATAGGCTGGTAATTGGCGTTAAGAAATTTGCGTCGTAGAAAGCGCGATCTCCTCAAAGTGATTACAAGTGACGAGCCACCCGTGGCGTTTCTCGTCGAACCTCGAGGAAGATTTCTCTAAAATTCCCTACTTCTCTGAGAGGATCAATCGGCCCATCGAATCGCTTTCCTCGGAAAGACTCTCTTTCTTTCCTCGAGGATCTTCCCCTGAAGAAAAGGTCTCTTCCTAAAAGACACAAGAATTACAAGGACCGAGACCTTCCTTCGCAAGAGAAAGCTCCTGTCATCGAGCGTGTCTTTCCTCCGGAGAAATTCTACGCAGAGGTATCTAGTTGATCGAATAAGCCGGATCAACGCGAACGGTGTCATTCCTTTGCGAAATAATTGTATCCTCCTCCTCCTTGAGCCTTCATCGAAGAGACCGCGTTCGCTATGGTATCGAAAGAAATCTTGACGAGATTCGATAGCAATTTGAAAAGCGTGCTCGAGCATCCGAGGATGCTCACGCGTTGGATCCACGCCATCCCGACCGACAAATTGATACGATTGACTTACTGAGAGCCTACTCGGTAGAGCCTGTGAGAAAGAGTTCGCGTGTGGCATTCCCTGTTTTGCATGCGGTGAAAATAGGATGGAGCGTCGTAGCGAGTAATGATAAATTCCTTCGGGAAGGTCGGGAGGAAGATTGCATAACACCACGTTCCCTCCCTACATCCATTGCCACCCTCTTCCTCCCCTTCTCCTACGCGCGCGCGCATTTCCTCGTCGTTCTTTTTCTCCCTCTGACTTTTCGCGCCTCCTCTTCAGAGATACGTCTCACCTCGTATATCGAATATCTAATTAAAGGCTGGCCGATAATCTTTTTTTATCACTTCTGTCCCCGCTCAGTAAGATGTGTGATAGCTGCAGAGCCTCTTGTCCCTCGCTCCGGCATCCGGCGTTGAAAAAGGATTGTACATTGCACGCGACATCGATCCGCGCACGCCTCTTCTCTCTTTCTCTCTCTCGCTTTCTCCTTCGCTCTCTTTTTTTTTCCTTCCGCGGGATTATGTAAAGCAGACAGTACTGGACGCCGGCCAGGACATTGACTGCTCGTCTTCGTGACGTTGGGAATTGTTTCTCCGTTAAGACGAAAAGAGAGGTAATCGCGCGCTATCGATGCCCCTCTCTCTCTCTCTCTCTCTCTCTCTCTCTCTCTCACACGCGTTCCTCTCTCGCGAGGTGTGTCTATGTGGGGCGCGCGCGCTCGCGCATTACAATGCGCCACTCGCATTACTCGCATATACTCGTGGCGGTCTGTCCACATGCATGCATGCAGCATGCAATGCGAATGCCGTTGCACGAAAACGAGAGCATACTTTGGCGCATTGCCCTGGCCGAGCCGATGCATGTCCGTGTTCGCGACCCTGACGAGGACAATCTCGATCCGTGTATCCCGCATGTAGAGAATCTTTACCGAGACTTTTCATGTATTACGAAAGCGGCGATTTTTCTCTTTAAATTCTTTGAAATGGAATCTCACTCTAAAAAGTGAACTTTTATTTTTCAAAGAGTGATAATTGAAAAAATTGTCAATCTTGAAAAAAGAAAAATATCACTTCAGAAAATTTAGAAAATTCTGTCACTGAAACTCTCTAATTTTCTAAAGTGGAATCTCGTTCTTAAAAGAATGAAAATTCTGCCACTCTTTAAAGTGAAATTCTACTCCGAAGAATTTAGAGTTTCCCTTTTTTCTTTACACTTTGTGCTTCCTACTTTCGAAACTATCCCTCTGATATTTCATCCCCTTTATTCAGCCCTGCCTCATCGCGATTGTATATATATATATATATATATATATATATGCCTCTTCGCAATTCGTCAGATAGGGTTGTCTCTGCGGTTCTTCCGATAGCCGGGCCGGCGACGTTTCGTGCCAATATACTCACTCAGGCGCATATCCTCTCTCTATCTCGCACGATTTATCTCTGTCCCTCCTCGGAAAAGCTACATAGAGCTAGGCGGCGGAGGATCGATAAATAGAATCGCCTATCGCACGCTACAACTGTCAGAAAGAAATACAATCCGCCGAGGTGCACGCTAGCCTCCTCCCGCCGTTGGCTTCAACTTGGAAACGCACGCACGTTGAATTCCGTTGAATTCCCGCGCCTTCCTCTCTCCTTCTGCAAGTCCCCTTTTAGATCGAGTCATCTACGGATAAAGTGTGTGTATGTGTGTGTGAGAGAGAGAGAGAGAGAGAGAGAGAGAGAGAGAGAGAGAGAGAGAATTTCAA